GCTGCCGCCCGCATGCGTCCCGCACACCCAATTCGGCACACCCCTCACACGTTTCGTGGCCCCATAGGGAGCCCCACCGAAGGCCCCAGTGCTGCCGCCCGCATGCGTCCCGCACACCCAATTCGGCACACCCCTCACACGTTTCGTGGCCCCATAGGGAGCCCCACCGAAGGCCCCAGTGCTGCCGCCCGCATGCGTCCCGCACACCCAATTCGGCACACCCCTCACACGTTTCGTGGCCCCAGAGGGAGCCCACCGAAGGCACCAGTGCTGCCGCCCGCATGCGTCCCGCACACCCAATTCGGCAACACCCCTCACGTTTCGTGGCCCATAGGGGAACCCCACCGAAGGCCCCAGTGCTGCCGCCCGCATGCGTCCGCACACCCATTCGGCACACCCATCACACGTTTCGTGGCACACCCCTCACACGTTTCGTGGCCCCATAGGGAGCTCCACCGAAGGCCCCAGTGCTGCCGCCCGCATGCGTCCCGCACACCCAATTCGGCACACCCTCACACGTTTCGTGGCCCCAATAGGGAGCCCACCGAAGGCCCCAGTGCTGCCGCCCGCATGCGTCCCGCACACCCAATTCGGCACACCCCTCACACGTTTCGTGGCCCCATAGGGAGCCCCACCGAAGGCCCCAGTGCTGCCGCCCGCATGCGTCCCGCACACCCAATTCGGCACACCCCTCACACGTTTCGTGGCCCCATAGGGAGCCCCACCGAAGGCCCCAGTGCTGCCGCCCGCATGCGTCCCGCACACCCAATTCGGCACACCCCTCACACGTTTCGTGGCCCCATAGGGAGCCCCACCGAAGGCCCCAGTGCTGCCGCCCGCATGCGTCCCGCACACCCAATTCGGCACACCCCTCACACGTTTCGTGGCCCCATAGGGAGCCCCACCGAAGGCCCCAGTGCTGCCGCCCGCATGCGTCACGCACACCCAATTCGGCACACCCCTCACACGTTTCGTGGCCCCATAGGAGCTCCGCCGAAGGCCCCAGTGCTGCCGCCCGCATGCGTCCGCACACCCAATTCGGCACACCCCTCACACGTTTCGTGGCCCCATAGGGAGCCCCACCGAAGGCCCCAGTGCTGCCGCCCGCATGCGTCCCGCACACCCAATTCGGCACACCCCTCACACGTTTCGTGGCCCCATAGGGAGCTCCACCGAAGGCACCAGTGGCGGCGCTCACATGCGCATGCGCCCCGCACACCCATTTGGGCACATCCCTGACAGGTTTCGTGGCCCCATCCACCGGAGGCCCCAGTGGCGGCGCTCACATGCGTCACCCACACCCCCCCAATTCGGCATACCCCTCACACGTTTCGTGGCCCCATAGGGAGCTCCACCGAAGGCTCCAGCGGCCGCGCTCACATGCGCACCCGCCACCCATCCCAGCACGCCCCTCACAACAACAGGTTCCGTGGCCCCATAGGGAGCTCCACCGAAGGCCCCAGTGGCACCGCCTGCATGCGTCACCACCCGCACCCAATTCGGCACACCCCTCACACGTTTCGTGGCCCCATAGAGAGCTGCACCGAAGGCCCCAGTGGCGGCGCTCACATGCGTCCCCGCCACACATCCCAGTACACCCCTCACGCGCTTCGTGGCCCCATAGGGAGCTCCACCGAAGGCCCCAGTAGCGGCGCTTACATGCGTCTCCGCCACCCATCCCGGCCCCCCCCCCCGCAGCAGCATCATGTTTCGGGGACCCATAGGGAGCTCCACTGGAGGCCCCAGTGGCGGCCTGCACATGCGTTTCCGCCACCCATGTCGGCACGCCCCGCGCGTGTTTCATGTCCCCATAGGGAGCTTCGCCGAATGCCCCAGTGGCACCCATCTCGGCACACCCCTCACACGTTCCGTAGTCCTATGGGGAGTTCCATTGAAGATGAAACCCGCAGCTGCGGTACTGACAACTGCATATGGTTGGGTTCTTCGCCAGGCGAATTCCCTATCCAGGGGCACTTTGACTTTTCTGGCCCCCCCGGGCTGAGTTGGACGATCAGGTTTCGCCTTTCTTGGTACCGTTGGACCCATTCTTTGGTTTCCAGAGGGGTCGCGCTTACGCTCATTAGGGTGCGCACCATCCATCCAGCTCTCACGCATAGAACCTGGTGTGCGCGGCACCTACTCTCGCAACACCTAAGTGGGCGGAAGTTTCTAGACTGCTTTTCCCAAACGTCCTGTGGTGCTGGGTCCTCGTTTGACGAGGCAGCGTCCCGCGTCCCCCCATCCTCCATCCTCCATCCTCCCCCTTCTTGCCTCTGCCCTCATCAGTATGCGGTTCCCACACCCAGTAGAACGTTTCGTGGCCGCATACGGAGACCCACCGCAGGCCCCAGTGGGAACATTCGCATGCAATTCCACCCATGATTTCGGCGCACACCTCACACGGTTCGTGGCCCCACACGGAGCTCCACCGAAGGCCCCAATGAGAAAGTAGGCATTCAGTTCACCCCCATATTGCGGTGTACCCCTTACACGGATGTTGGCCCCATGGGGAGCCCCACCGAAAGTACGCATGTAGTTCCACCCCCCCTTTCGGCACACCCCTCACACGGATCGTGGCCCCATAGGGAGCCCCACCGAAGGCCCCAATGAGACAGTGGGCATTCAATTCACCCCCAGATTTCAGTGTACCCCTCACACGGATGTTGGCCCCATGGGGAGCTCCACCGAAAATACGCATGCAGTTCCACCCTCCTTTCGGCACACCCCTCACACGGTTCGTGGCCCCATAGGGAGCTCCACCGAAGGCCCCAGTGGGGAAGTTCGTTTACGGTTCCACCCCCATTTGGGCACGCTCGTCACACGCTTCGTGGCCCCAAAGGGGGCTCCACCGAACGCCCCAATGGGAAAGTTCGCGTGCAATTCCACCCCCCTGTCGGCACACCCCTCACACGGTTCGTGGCCCCCAAAAGGGGGGCCCCACCGCAGGCCCCAGTGGGAAAGTCTGCATGCAGTTCCACACCCCATTTCGGCGTAACCCTCACACCGTTCGTGGCCCTATAGGGTGCACCACCGAACGCCTCAATGGGAACGTTCGCATGTAATTCCCCCCCCCCTTTCGGCACACCCCTCACACGGTTCGTGGCCCCATAGGGGGCTCTACCGCAGGCCCCAGTATGAAAGTGGGCATTCAGTTCCACCCCCTACTTCGGCGTACCCCTCACACGATTCGTGACCCCATAGGGAGCCCCACCAAAGTTCGCATGCAGTTCCACCCAATATTTCGGCACACCCCTCACACGGCTCGTGGCCCCATAAGGTGCTCCACCGAAAGCCCCAACGAGAAAGTGGGCATTCAGTTCACCGCCAGATTTCGGTGTACCCCTCACGCAGATGTTGGCCCCATGGGGAGCTCCAACGAAATACGCATGTAGTTCCACCCCCCTTTCGGCACGCCCTCACACGGTTCGTGGCCCCATAGGGAGCTCCACCGAAGGCGCCAATGGGAAAGTTCGCACCCCTCACGCGTTCCGTGCCCCCACAAGGAGCTCCACCGAAGGCCCCAGCGGCAGGGTTCGCATGCGGTTCCACCCACCATTTCGGTGCACCTCTCACACGGCTCGCCGCCCCACAGGGAGCTCCAACGAAGGCCCCAGTGGCAAGGTTCGCATGCGGTTCCGACCCTGATTTCAGCGCACCCCTTACACGCTTCGTGGCCCCATAGTGCGCTCCACCGCAGGTCCTTAATGGCAAGATTCGCATGCGGTTCCACCACCTATTTCGTCGCACCCCTCACACGCTTCGGGGCCCCATCGGGAGCTCCACCGCAGGCCCCAGCGGCAGGGTTCGCATGCGGTTCCACCCCCACTTTCGGTACATCCCTCACTCACACGTTTCGTGGCCATATGGGGAGCTCCACCGAAAGCCACCGTAGCAGGGTTCGCATGCGGTTCCATCCCCATTTGGGCGCACTCCTCACACGACTCGTGGCCCCAAAGGGAGCTCCACCGAAGGCCTCAATGGCAGGGTTCGCATGCGGTTCCACCTCTCATTTCGGCATACCACTCACACGGTTCGTGGCCCCGTAGGAAGCTCCAGCGAAGGCCCCAATGGCGGGGTTCGCATGCGCTTCCACCCCCAATGTCAGGACACCCCTCACACCTTTCGTGGGCCCATCGGGAACTCCACCTAATTCCCCCGTGGCAGGGTTCGCATGCGTTTCCACCCCCACTTTCGGCACACCCCTAACACGCTTCGTGACCCCATAGGGAGCTCCGCCGAAGACGATACTCACAACTGCGGCACTCCCATCCGCATATGGTTAGGTCCTTCGCCAAGCTAACTATTCGGACCGCCCTGGGTGTGCACGGCACCAAAAATCTCGCTGACAGGGGGGTCCCCTTTTATGACTAGTGTGTGCGCGGCACGAGAACTCTCCCAGTAGTTGTGGGAAGGTATCTTTTTTCGCAACCGAGTGAAGGTTGCAGTGCCCCAGTGAATGACTAGCCCCGCCAAAATGTGTTGTGCGTGTTGGTGTCTTTTCCTCGTGTCCGTGGCTAAGATCCTCCTAAGTGACGATGTCGTTCACCACGTGACCACTGCCAACACCGACCCCGCCACAGGACTGGGCTTTTTAAGGGGCCCACCATGGAGTGGGATTGGGCTTTGTGAACAAGGGGGATGGGGAGCACGACTTGTTTCACCTGAAGGGGGCTTGCCCGCTACAGCGATCGCTGCCTCGCCACTTTCTCTCTGCCGCCGCTTCTCGTCTCACACGCCGATTGGGATTCATACTCATTCCCTTAGTTGCCGACCGACCGAGGAGGAGGAAGAGGCGGAGGAAGAGGAGGAGGGGTTTCGCCCACGACAGCCTGGTGCAGTCCAGGTCGAAGCAGGAGGGTTTGGAAATGGGAAGACGAGCTGGGATCATTTTGGCTTCCTGGGGCCGTCTCCGGGCCCAGGGGCAATCAAAACTGTCCGTGTCGGAAGACTGCTCCGGTAAAGGGTCTGGAGCTCTGGAGCCCTCGGGCCAAAGAGATTATGACATCGAGGTGTGTGCTGGGAACGTGGCGCAACCCGGGAACGTGGCGCAATCCGATGGCCAGCGGACAGCAGAAGGCAATGATCGAAACGGGTGAGAATCTAGAAATGGCGGCTGCCATGGCTGCTGCAACTCTGTAACGGCGGCTGCCGTGGCTACCACAGTTCCGTGTGGTCGAGTGGGCAAGTGTTCTTGCACTGCATCAGCCACTTCGACACGCACTCCCGGTGAAACTGGCACGGGGGCCGTCGTCCGAGTGAGCGGAGCCGCCCGCGCGTCCGTCGCCGTCTCCGTCCCCAGACGTCCGACGGTTTGGGTTTTTCAGTGCTGCGCGGCCCCCCAAAGGCCCCGACCGCTTCCCTGGGGGTGGCTTTTCGTCCCGGATCCGCTTCTGATGGTCCTGGGGCCCGGTAGAGGGCCCCAGAGACCGATGAGCCCATGCAGCGCAAGACCTTCAGTCTTTCATCATCATTATCATCATCATCATCATCAGCATCATCATCATCATCATCATCATCATCATCATCATCATCATCATCATCATCATCGTCGTCGTCATCATCATCATCCTCGTCGTCGTCGTCGTCGTCGTCATCATCATCATCTTTTTCTTGTTAATCAGCAGCGTCATCATCACCACCATCACCACCACCACCATCATCTTCACCATCATCATCATCATCATCATCATCATCATCGTCGTCGTCCTCGTCGTCGTCATCGTCGTCATCATCATCATCATCATCATCATCATCTTTTTCTTGTTAATCAGCAGCGTCATCATCACCACCATCACCACCACCACCATCATATTCACCATTATCATCATCATTATCATCATCATCAGGATAATCATCATCATCATCATCATCATCATCATCATCATCATCATCAGGAACGCCATCATCATAACTATCATCATCAACATCAACATCAACACTGTCACCATCACACACAACCTCCTCCTCACCTTCATTACCATCACCACCACCACCATCACCATCACCATCACCATCACAATCACAATCACAACCACCATCACAATCACCACCATCAGCATCACCACCATCACCATCACCATCACCATCACCATCACCATCACCATAATCACCATCGTCATCAACATCAACATTGCTACCACCACCATCCACCACAGCAACCACCATCACAATTAGCATTCGCATTACCAGTATCGTCGTTATGAGCATCGCCACCGTTGTCATCATCCTCATCCTTATCCTCATGCTCTTCCTCTTCATCTTCCTCCTCCTCCACATCATCATCATTATCATTATCACCATCGTCATCAGCATCATCGCCATCACTAGCACTATCACTATCATCATCACCATTTCACCATCATCGTTCACTGCTCCACTCCTCCTTTACCCATTCCTTCTCCGTCGTCGTCCTCCTCCTCATCCTCCTCAAATGTATCGTCCTCCGCGCATGTCGAATGGTAGTGGAGGCGGAGCGCTGAGGGCCAACAGACCCAACACCAAAGAACAATCGAACGAACGGCCTGAGAGTCGCCACGCCGTACATGCAGTCAGGGTCGAGCGAACCATCCTAGCGCTGATCGTTTCGTGGACTGGCCAAGAAACGCTTCGCTGTCCTGTGGCTACCCCCGACACGCAGCCTTCTGCGAGGCAGCCCAAGACGAAACAAACACAGAGAGCTGCTGGAGAAGGACAGACAGGAGGAAGAGGAGGACGAGGAGGAGCAGGGGGAGAGCGTTCGGAAAGGGATGGGGGAGCATGGGGGCGAAGCAGCGAGGTGAGACGAGCCGCCTGTGTGCAAAATCCGCCGATCCGGCGTGTGAGTTTCAAGGAGTCTCAGCTACAGCCTCGAGGCTGAGCCTCAGCCTCTGGGGGGGTTGCCGGGGTGGCTCTGCCGGGGAAGGGGGGATGGGGGGGGGGGGTGCGAGTTTCCGGCGGATGCGGGGCGCTGCTTTTACAGAAGGCTCTAATCTCGAGGATGCGCTGGAAGGGTGGCCGCGGCCGCAAAAGTCTCTGAGGACGGTCTACGAAAGTCCCGAGACCCCGAAGGATCGCCCGAACACGCCCAAGATGGCCCCAAGACGGCCCAAGAGCCTTCCACGACGTCTGAAGAGGCCTCCAAGAGGCCTCCCACGATGGCCCCCAGAGGCAAAAATCGTTGATTCCCATTGGTTTTTTCAATGTTTTTGGGGTTGTCGCTTTTTTCGGCTTTCCGACGCTCCAAGACGGCCCAAGAGGCCCCCAAGACCGCTCGAAGACGGCCCAGGAGGCCCCCAGACAGCCGCCCAAGACGGCCCAACAGGCCCCCAAGACGGCCCCAAGAGGACCCAAAAGAGGGACGAAAAGCGGAAAAAATCTAGCCTTCCAGCCCACGAGGCCCCCAGGAGGCCCCAAGAGCCTCCAAGAGGGCCTCCGAAAGCCCCCAAGAAGCCCCCACGACGCCCTGACAGGCTCCTAAGATGGCTCAAAAAACGCCCCAAGAGGGCGTCCTTGCGCCGATAGGCTCGCCTCCACCGCTCGCACCACATCGTCCAGGCCACATGTTTCGTAACACGACTCCGTGCACGACGTATCGTGAGTTTCCAAAGTGATCGGCATCCTGTATGGAATTTTCATGTCATTATTATTTCCCGTCCCCACGGTCACTGCAAGCACCCCGCCGTTGATAGAACCACTGTTGCGAGATGGCTCTATTGACCCAACTGCATTCCTACGCCCTTTCGAAGGTAACCCGAGAAGTTTGTGCGTTTGAGTGTACGCCCATAATGTCTGCGTCTGGAGAATAACACCGAGCGACCCGGATCGGCGGCACTGGCCGAAGGCCACTACAATAATCCACTGCCCGATTCGAGTAGACTGCCTGTACAGAGCCGAGCCCTGAGACAGACGATCAACACGCTGCTGCCTGCTCGAGTCGCTGGCCAGCGCCTTCGAGTCGCATGGCTCAACTTACCCCTCAAGTCCCCCCCCCCCTGCCTCGCTTGGACCAACCTGGGCCCACACACCTGTCAAGCCATGCATGAGGCTGCCCGCCGCAGCCGATAGCCTCTGACGGCCGAGACCACACCCGAATAACAGTGAGGAGACACGAATACGCCCAACCTGAGATTTGTCCTAAGCCAGCCCAGGCTGTCGACCACTCGCGCAAGTGCAAAAAAGAGCCTTCCTTTCTGCTTGGGTATCGAAGGGATACCGGAGTAATATCAAACGTCTTTCTCCCACTGGCCAGCCTCTCGGCAAGCTTGCCTGTGGTGCAACATGCGTACCACGCAAACTACGTCACACCAACGAACATAACAATGCCTGGATTGCGCGAAAACTTTATTACGGAAAGCGGGCGAGGAGGAGGGCATTGAATAACCTGTAGACCACAAAAGAGCTGGCGCCCACCCAAAAACATGGCGCAACGTATAATACGTGCCCATAACCCCCACGGGGAACACATTGAGGGCCTTCGCATGCACTATATCGCCATCTCGCTCAAACTTAGAATCCAAATGCAAATGCCGAATACTTATCCCCACATGTTTCATGGGATTCCGGTTTTCTTCCCACCCGCATCGCAACCGCGTCTCCTCCCGCACACCTCCCTCTTCCTCTCTTCCGCTTCCTCTCCTCACCCGCGCGCAACGCATGCACGGCGCTGCAGGCTCGCAAGGCGTGGCAGGCGTGGCATTTCCTTTTCGCCGCAGGGGGTGCGCTGGGGGATGGGGGCGCTATGTGTTGCAGGCTCACATGGCGTGGCATTTCCTCGAAGCCACAGGGGTGCAATGGGGGTGGGGGCGCTACGCGCTGCAGGCTCGCAGGGCGTGGCAAGCGTGGCATTTCCTCGGCACCAGAAGGGGGTGCGCACGGAGTGGTCTCTCAGCGCGGCCCGTATGCGTGCCAGGGTCGGAGAGCGTGGCAGGCGTGGCACTTTCTCGACACCAGAGGAGGTGCGCAAGGGGTGGTCTCTCAGCGCGACAGGTATGCGTGACAGGGTTGGAGAGCGTGGCAGGCGTGGCACTTTCTCGACACCAGAAGAGGTGCGCAAGGGGTGGTCTCTCAGCGCGGCCCGTATGCGTGCCAGGGTCGGAGAGCGTGGCAGGCGTGGACTTTCTCGACATCTGAGTGGGGTGCGCAGGAGGTGGTCTCTCAGCGCGGCCCGTATGCGTGCCAGGGTCGGAGAGCGTGGCAGGCGTGGCAGCTTCTCGACACCAGAGGGGGTGCGCAGGGGGTGGTCCCTGGTGCGTGGCAAGGTCACCGCAATGTGTGTGCGCAGGGGGTGGTCTTTCAGCGCGGCCCAATTTGCGTGCCAAGGCGGGAGGGCGCGGCATGCGTGGCAGCCAAAACTGTAGACACCCTGGCCCGAAACGGCTCGACAATTGCAGGAGTGGCCTTGCCCCCCGCGCCGCTCATGCCGCCCAGATATGCCATTTACGCACTGGCGCCGGCCGTGTTTGAAGCTGAAGAAGTCCATGACAGACGCAGGTGTCGAGGCAGCTTCCCGCCGCGTCGAGACTCGTGCGCCGCCCGCCTGCCCACCTACAGCTCCGCTCTCTTCCGTGGTCGCCATAGCTCAGGCTGTTGCTCGCACGGCGCGTCGGTCTCCCAAGGCTTGACCAACGCCACTAACGGTATCGGCGAAGCAACGGCCACCACCACCACCAGCATCATTCTCGCAAGTTCCACATCAGCTATCATCACGCCCGACATATTATAAGTATATGGGGTTCCTCGGTAGCGTATTTGTTACCCGTTTCCGCGCAAAACGCGTGCGTCTTGTAATGGGCCCGCCTAGTCGGAAGCCCCCCCCCCTACCTCCGCTCCGACAGTTTGAGTTGCCAACTTTCGCTTCGCAGCTGATGGCCGCATCGAACTTATACCCTCCCCTTTGAGGTCAGGACGTGGGGATTAAAAGAAACGCGGGAGGCCTGTCGCGCGCGAAGGGGGCACCGTACGTAAAACCGTCTGGAGCGACAGGCTATCGAAAGCGGAGCCGCTACGGTCGCTCGCCGTCCTTCTCGGGTGGGGCCGAGCACCCGGTCGCGGACACCATCGAACACGACCAGTCGTACTGCTGTGCCTCTGCCTTTTCGGGTGCCCCCCCTGCTCCCGCAGCGCCTCGTGCTCGGCAGGGCAGGGCACCGAGACGACGTCCTGCAGGCGCAACAAGGGAACATCAACGCCACGGAGAGTCCGCGCGAACTGCGTGTTGGGTGCAGCCAACGATGGAACTAGTGGCGGCCGTGCATCTACCCCCAGCGAAGCAAAAACACTCAAGACGGAACAGACAACGCTCTACTCTTCCCGCCCGATGCAAGTATTGAGGTGCTGGCTGGCCGAGCAGACGTCCACTCACGTTGCTTACCAGACCCCAAAGCTGACAGCTGTGCTGCTGCTGCAGCCAGGGTTCTAGATTCGCAGCCAAGATTCTAGATCTCAAAGTCCTGGACACCTGGTTTCCCGGGAGCTCCCGGGAATTTCTGGGAGCTCTTGGGGTGTGTCGCGTGCGTCTTCTGGAAGCCAGGGAGGTCCCCAGACGGTCCCGGAGGAACTGGAGGGAGCGAGGAGGCCGCGAAGATGGCCCAATAGAGCCTCGAGTCGCCTCAAGATCGCGCCCAGATCCTCAAGATGGCTTGCAGACAACCATAGAGGCTCCAAGAAACTCCAAGGTGGCCCCCAGAACACCCCCAGGAGGCCCAAATCATAGATTCTTTAGGTTTTTGAATGATTTTAGCCTTATCGCTTTTTTCAGCTTTCAACGCTCCAGGGCGGTCTAAGAAGCTCCCAAGAGCGCCGAAGGACTGCCCAGGAGGCCCCGACGAAGGCCCCAAGATACCCAAAGATGCTCCAAGAGGGTTTTGAGAGGGCCCAAGAGGACCCTGAGACGGCCGGGGGAACACGAACGGACACTTCTAGGCTTCCGCCCCAAGATGGCCCCAAGAGCCCCCCCCAGAGGCTCCCGAGGCACCTCAAGACGCCCCAAGAGGCTCCCAAGAGGCCCCCAGGAGGGCCCCCAGAAGCCCCCAAGACCCCTCCAAGAATCTCCCGAGAGGCATCCCAAGAGACCCTCATTGCAATCAAGAAGCATCTGAAACACAATCTTGGCTCGGTGGCGGGATGGGCCGACGGCCACTAGATCCGCCGCCCCCTGTCGATTCATCGCAGGGGTGCCTGGCGTGCTAGATCCTTTCGGTTTTGGTTTTGGTTCTTTTTCCAAAAGAACTTCCCCTGGGCCTCTGGCGCGTCCTGCCGGCGTCCCGGAAAGATCTTCCAGACCCGGCTCTTAAGGGTTTTTCCTGCTCCAGACGGCTCCAAAACGGCCCAAGATGGCCACGATGGCCCAAGATGGCCTCCAAATTCGCCCAAGATGGTCCAAGATGCCCTCGAAGACGGCCCAAGAGAGCCCAGGATCCTCCAAGTTCGCACAAGAAACACCCAAGACGGCCCAAGACAGCCCCAGCGGCCTCCAAGAGGCCTCCAAGACGTCCCAAGGGGACTCGAAGAGGTCCTCCAGGGTCCTCAAAGACGGCCCGAAGAGGTCAAAATCATTGATGCTCCTTATGCTTTGAAGGATTTTGGCTTTTGCTCCTTTTCGGCCTACCGACGGCCCTAGACTACCCGAGAGGCCACCACGATCGCCCCAAGAGTTCCCAAGAAGCCTCCAAGACGGCCCCAGGACGGCGCAAGAGGCCCCCAAGACGGCCCCAAGAAGGCCCCAAGATGGCCCAAGAGGCCCCCAAGAAGCCCCAGACGGCCTCCAAGACTTCCAAGATGGCCTCCAAGATGCCTCCAAGACGGCCAAGATGGCCTCCAAGACGACCAAGATGGCCCCAACATGCACCCAAGACAACCCAAGATGGCCTCAAGATGGCCTAAGACTGCCTAAAAGGCCCGCAAGAGGCCTCCAAGACGGCCCAAGAGCCCTTCAAAACGTCCTCCAGGAAGGCCCGAAAGAGCCAACAGCATTGATTTTCTGTAGGTTTTTGCTGGATTGTTGCTTTTGTTCCTTTTCAACTCTCCGACGGCCCAAGACGGCCCAAGCGGCCCCCAATATCGTCCCAAGAGCGCCCAAGAGGCCTCTAAGATGGCCCCATAGTCGAAAACAAGCTGGTAAGCTTAGGTATACAGTCCGCCTTAGGCGCTTCCATATCCCAGGCTTAGGCTCATAGCGCATGAGCAAGAGAGCGAGACGAAGCATGGGATCTGGAGTAAAGAGTAGGATGGGCATCGTCAATGGAAAAGGATGTTTTCCGATCTCGGATGCAAGTAGTGCGCCTCAGTGAGGCACAGTCACATATCTGGCCGGGCCCGGCTTGAGCCAGGCACGGCAGCGGTACATGCTCGATTTATATCTCGCCTTTAACCTTCTCCGTTTAAAGTCGGAGGGGGAGGAGACGAGCAGGTACCGCACTACTATTATGCGGAAAAACAGTGCTAAGCAGCAGCGGCTGCCTACAAGGAAAGGGGCGCGCGAGTAGCCTCGCTACCGGCGAGTTTCCTCGCTGCTAAAGCGCACCTGCCCGCGGGTTTCCCCGCTGGCTCGGGAGGCAGGGCCGTCCTGAGACGACCTGCCCGCCCTATACGGTGTATGTTTCTTCAGCTCGTGCTTGAAGGATTGCTGGCCGGCCATTACTTGTAGGAGCAACGCGCGGTCAATGCTACCTTTGGTATGACCATCGGCAGTCATATCCCGCGTGTCACACCATTGGACGCTTTCCACGATTCCACGTTCCATCATCTGGCGAATCCAGCTGATGTGCCCAAGCAGAGTACACTCTGTGGGCTTCTTCAGATCCTTGCTAGACAAAGATTTGAAGACAGACTCGGCATCAATAGTCAGAGTGACTTTGATACATAGACCACCCATTTCCAATATGTTCTTCAACTGTGTGGGGGTCAATGGTCCCGAGTGTAGCTCGTGGAGCGTTACAATGGTCGGGTAGCAGTCTTCCAAGTTGTGGGCTGCTGCCAGTGTTTCCGCAGAGTAGCTCGAACGCACTTGCAGTCGATGAGACTTGCAGTATGCGTCCACCAGGTGCACGACGGGTTTCCCCGCTTGCGTGTGGCCACGCCTCAGCAGGTTAGCCCCGCGGATACCATAGCCTTTGACTTCGTCGTCTTCATCTCCGTTGAGACGACGATAGCCAGAATCGCTATGCAGGTCGACTTCTCCTGTTGGAGTCATAGCATGATACACGATCTTCTTCGGACCTGCCTGCAATTTTCTGGTAACCGCGTTTAGTCGTCGTACCTGGATGTTTGTCGGTTCTTGGATACGTTGTAGTGAAACAACATAGACCATTAGCCATACCTGCGTGATCAACGCATAGGCTAGAGCGCCACGAAGACTAACGAACATATCAGAAATTGTCTTCGTCGCCTTGCTTTCAGGATCAGCTCCTGTGAGTTCTGGATGTGTGATAGGACGAAGCTGTTTGATGTATTCGTCCTGATCGAGAGTGACGCTCCCATCATCGGTCTTGTTGTACCGAACAGCACAGTTCGTGTATGTGTGCTTGTTCAGTTTGCACTTCCCAAACGTATCTTCAACACACTTGACATACTTGTCGATAGCCTCTTCCTTCCCAGTCATATTGATGTCATCAACGTGCTTGGCTGTCAAGAGGTTTGGGCTCATCTCGAATTCTTCGTCGTATGAAGTAGGCTGTAGCCCAAAGCTCCTAGTGATGGACCTGAGCTTCAGCGAGAATGCCCTGGGAGCATCCTTCGTGCCTGTCCCCGGTTTCAGACACCGGAGACAATGCTTTGATTCGTCATATGACTCAAAGCCTGGCAGTGTGCGAAGGACAGCTGCTGACCCAGGTGGTAGTGTGAAACACACCACACGTTCTTTCTCGCCCGTTGCCGCGGCGAGCTCGCCATAGGTCAGTCCCTTCAAGAAAGCCATGTTGATGTCCAGGGAAGCGATGATCCAAGCTTTGTTGCATGCAGCAGAACTTGCGAGCAGTCTCTGGCTTGACCTCCTTGCCGTGCCAGAGAAGGTTTCGACATCAAAGGCTTCGAGGTCCATGAAGCCACGGAGTACCAAGCGTAACCGGATCGTCCTTTCCATTTCGCCCTTTTCGTTCTTGACAAACTTCCATTTGTATACGTAGCGTGACGTCATGATGTTAGACGCCTTGCTTAAGTCAGTCATCTGGAAGCATTTGTTGTCAAGCCAAGTCTTCAGCTCTGTGTAGAGGGCTTTGGAGACTTTGACCGGATTTGCTTGGATGTCGGCCTTCGTGAGTAGATCGTCTTCCTTGACGACCACGGCACGTTTGGAGGCAGCGCTAACGTATACTCGCATAGTTGTGACGCTGCTGTCATCCAACAGTCGGTGTTGCTGCTCGGACAGGACGACTTTGGACATGTCTGCAGTGAAGCAGAGCTCGATATACTTCCCGTGCTCATCGGAGTCCAGATCATATTTGCTATCCGGTTCCGTGGAGCATAAAGGAACGTAGTAAGAAGTGTCCATGTCGTATCCTGGCGGGTGACCCCGCTCCGGCAAGTGGCCTTGCACATCTTCACAGGTCGTAGAGACTAATACACACTGTGTGTCTGTCATGTATGTAGGAACTGTATGCATGACTTCCTCTGTGTCAGCTTCAAGGAGTGTTCTGTCATCCATCAGTTCAGCATACCACGACTTCAAGACAAAAGCATCCAGATCTTCTTCTGTCTCCTCTATGATGGTCGGAAGCCGACCATCGTTGTCCGTAGGAGGCTCCTCAGGAGCAGCTGCTGGAGGTGATTCGCTTGGTGGTGGACCATCAGCGAGTTCCTCAAACTTAGTGAGATCTTGGTCAAACCCAGCAGACGGCTTCCTGGATTTAAGACACTGGATGATGCGTGAGTGTGTAGATCCTGTGATGTCATAGATGTTCAAGGCAGTGCCATCAGCTTCGTAGTAATGAAACCCAGGGGTCACATCGTTATCATAGTGCACTAGTGTACAGCTGTCTGCATAGGGTGCAGCAGGCAGCTTCGTCAGGCTCTTGGCGAGTCGTACAGCAATAACGTTTTCAATGCGAAAGTAGTTGCGTATGAGATACTGAAGAGCCAAGTGCACCTTAGGTGAAAGTCGGCTCGCAGCAGTCATCTGCAGCCGACCCTGTTTCGTTGGTAGATATCCGAAAGTCATGGCGGGT